CAGAGGAGGAAGCGACCGCCACCAGTGAGGCTAGCATAGCTTGAGGATGAAGGGAGAGCGAGAGTACTTGGCTACAAAGATGGATGCTCAGGATGTCTTCTTCATTGTGTACTGTACTTCTGTTCGGTTTTGTCGTTTTGCTTTATCTGAAAACCAATTTTTCTGGTGGGTAATTTGAGGGACGATTTGTTGATCGGTGGAAACTTTTTAGTGTGACAGCAGCAGCAGCAGCAGCAGCAGACACTGTGCAGCCGAGTCGGGAGTGAAACTGATCGATTGAGCTCGTTGAAGAAAGGTAGTCGNGTGGTCGCCGAAAGAAGATAGGCAGACAGAGTAGGCAGAACGTTCATTCCGGGGGGAATGAGGTCAACAGATCGCAGATCGAACTCAACTGTTGCTGCTGTTTACTCAACATTGTTCAATTTTTTGGAGAACAACGGGGAGTTTCGGACAATACAGTGTGTGTGTGTGTGTGTGTTTTGTCTGCATTTTATTACTCANAGAGAGAGAGAGAGAGAGAGAGAGAGAGAGAGAGAGAGAGAGAGAGAGAGAGAGAGAGAGAGAGAGAGAGAGAGAGAGAGAGAGAGAGAGAGAAAGGAGAGAAAGTGCCTCGAAGTGTTAATTTGTGGCGCCCACGACCGGTTTCTGTTCGGGTGTTGAGAGCTCTTCGGGTGCACTGACAGTGGTCGACTGACTGTTGTTGTCACCAACCACAGAAGCGACAGTTGAAGTCGAAACAGTTTCAGTGCTCGGTGCACTCGTCGCTGTCGTTTCGGGTGCAGCACTAGTGGTGGTCACTGGTGATAATGATGTCGTTGATGATAGTTCGCTTGATGATGTTGAAGGTGGTGATGATGGCACTGTTGTGGCACTTTCGGTGACCACTTCGGTGGATGGTGGCGTTGATGATGTTGTCGGGCCAGGGCTTTCACTGTTGTTGGCAGTTGAAGTTCCATTATCGGCGGCGTTTGTTCTCGCCGTACTAGCTTCCGACTCCAGACCAACTACCTGGTCGACAATTGAATCGGTGCTGGAATTGGCCAGCTGGCCGACGACCACGTTCAGCTGGTGGCAGTTGGTGATGTTCGACAATTCCATGGAGCGGGGAATTTTGACGTTCAGCATTTTGGAGACTGGTGAAAAGAGGTTAGAAAAGTTAATGGGCGTTACCGTTGTAGAAAGAGGACTTACCAGGAACGGTGGCTCTGGTGTAAAACTGACACTTGAACTTTGACCACGCTGAGCTCACCCGGACGTTCAGTCGCTGGAGCAGGGACTGTGGTCCACTTCCATTGCCGTTTTTCACCGGTACACTTTCCACGCTCAGCGTCAGATTTCCTGCTTCAGACGATGGAGGATTTGCACTAACAAAAGGAAAATTATACCGAAATGTTGTTTAGGTTTCAGATTACAGCAACAGCTTACGCTACGACTGTTATCGTCCTGGCGGTGAAAACAAAAAAGAAAAGGAAGAGAAGAAAAACAAGAGAAAAGTACCCGCTGAAGGATAAAGTTTGAAACTTCATTTTTCAAACAAGTTATAGTAATTTTTTTCAAAAAATGATTCACAAAGCCCAAAGTACGACTGACTAAATCAAACTGTGATTATCACAATAATAGCCCATTTACCTACCCATTACAAATTGCCTCTGGTTACTCGGAAACTCATCCTTCTGTCTAAACTTGGAACCAGTTTTTTGGACATCGAGCACACAGCTGTGTTTGCCATCATCATCATCATCATCATCATCAAAACTTGCATTACCCGTACATCTCAATTGCCTTTTCATTGTTTTCCCATCATTCCCTCTCTTTGTTTGCATTAAAATGTCTGCCAGCTTTTCTGTGTGTGTATGAGCTTGGCTAAACTGAGCTACAAGTTGGGGATGATGGTAAAAAACTGGCACTTTCACTTTTGGAGAAAGTGTGCCGAAAGAACAAGAGTCTAGCTCACGTTGAATGTTGAATGGAGAGCACTGTTGACAGAGCAGGAGAAGACAAATGAGGAGAACAAAAATTATTAGCAAAACTAACAAAAAAGAGAAAAAAGATCAGTGATTGCTGTGTTTGCCCTGGCAACAGGAGCAGTAGTAGTGCAATCAAATCACAAAAAAAACAGAAAGAGTACACGCACAGTTCTTTTTCCGATTCAACAAAAATTCATTTATTTTTTTGGTATTTCTAAAAAACTTGAATTTTAGATAATCCTCACTAAAATGCACTTTTAAAGTGCGATGAACTTTTCTCTGGCGCTCTGACTGTAGTCCAACGAAAAGAGTGTAACAAAAGTGTATGTACCCGCCACTGTACTAGTGTACTTTTGTTGTTTATACTGCCAGTGTACGCAAGGAAAAAAAAGTGTATCGAGATGTTTCCATTTGATGGATGAGAAGAGAAGGGGGGGAAGGCAGTGTGAACTTTACGGGGGAAAATCCCCAAAAATAAAGTTGCAGAGTTCAGGGCAAGTTCGCCCAGGTGGGACTATTCTGGTACTTGATCAGCTCAATCTTGTCAATCACAGCGCCGCCCTACAAAAAAGGTTAATTTAGAAAATCATTTTCAACATTAAAATCTTTCGCTTTACCTTTTCATCTGAAGTCTGCTCGAGGACGAGGTGCAGGCGTGACTTGAAGCTAAGTCGGGTGTACCCGTAATCAGGAGATGTGTGCAAAAGCCAACTCTTGGGGTGCTTGTTGAAGCTGCCGTGCTCCTGCTTGTTGCCCTGATAGGAAAAAAAATCAAACGATTTTAAAATTACAATAATTAATTAAAGAATCTGATGATAAACTCACCGCAGCCCCGGTGATAAAGTGCACCGGCCCGGCGGGGTCAT